AATATTTAATACAAGACTGTATTTCAAAATTATTGGTATAGACTAGGATGTCTAATAAATAAAAAAAGCTATAATTATATAGATTGTTACATAGCAATATAAGCCATTGGTATTTTAAAATTTACATTAACATTAAAGAATATGATTCCTTTAAGTTATAATTACAATATTAACTTTTAATTAAAAGAGTTACTACTATCTTACACACTATTACCTTGTATCCCTATATAATAGTTATCTTAAATAAATATCCATCACAATATGCCTACAATATTGTACATACAAAATATAATTAAATACAAATAGAATATCCTCAACAAAAAACTTTTTTGAATTTTGTGGCAACCACAGAAACATATTTTCACATGTCATTATAAATAAAGCAATCGTCTATAAAAATATAACTGTAACTGAATTTTGCAATGTATTATTATTATACAAAAAAATCTCAAGGGAAATATAAACTTTGTCATCACATTGAAAATATTCGACTTATCGTAAAACAATTATAAAAATTCAATAACTTTACATCCAAAAACATATTTAAAAAAAAAACTTTATTCAATTATTAGATCTTATAGGTGCTGATTAGTTTTTTCTTTGGAAAATAATTTTTAAAGTTTTCAAATACAATCAAATTATTATTATTGACAGATAAATCTGAGATATTATTAGTGATACATAATTATTGTTTTCAGAAAGAATCTCATAGTAAATAAAATCAATTCTTAATAAGTATGTTTTTTTTAAAGAACTGATTTAATTTATTATTATATTATATTTTGGTTTTTAGCGATAAATTTTCAATAATGAACTATAAAATGTTTTACTAGCATGGTTTGCTATTTCTCCTAATCATAAAATATACATAAGCACACAGAAAATCCTACCGATAAAYCACTGTAGAAAATGAGAAAAGTTTAATTACTATGAAATAAAATAGAATTGACTGTTTATACGAAAAATAATTTAGACTTGAGCAACCAAGAATTAAATTAAAATTTTATATATTTTTAAAACTAATCTAAAATTTTATTTTTAAAAATGGCTTTAAAAAGAATAATTTATAACGAAAACAATAAAAATGAATTATAGTTATTAATAGAACAATATAAATTGTATTAAGGGCATGTGATTTTTAATAAAATTGTCTTAATCAATAAGGTATTCAGTCACTTTCTGAATTGGAAGAATAGGTCATGTTTAATTTCCTTTTCTTCTTAAGTGGTAGTGTATCACTATTAGAAGAATCAGAGTCCTCACAGGAAGAATTATCAAGATAATTATAAAATAAATTAGAAAATGTCTTTTTGTTAACAACTAAATTCTTAAAATAGGGAGTCTTGTATTCAATGGGATATTGTACATCATAAATACTATAGTCATTTATTTTCTTTGGATTAGATTCTTTAGGTAAAATTTGATTGTCAGAATCATTTCCACCGATAGCATCTTTAAATTCCTACAAAAAAATGAAATATAATTAATATAAAATGTTAAAAGCAAAGTTTAAGGAGAAAAAATGAAATACCCGGCAATGCTTTTTGATATCCATTTGAAAATCAGAAGCATCACTATTAACWATAGAGGTAGAGTGATTGATCATTGCAGCATTAAATGACATCATCAAAAGAGAAATTTGAAGTTCTCCAAGCCTTGTTATTTCACTTGATGTGATCTTTCTTTTAATCTCTCGCAAATCAACGGGACTGTAAAATAAACAATTTTTAAACTAAAAGAAAATCATAAACACGAGTAAACAAAATAACAACCATTCATCTTTGAATCCTTCTACATTTAAATTTATAATATAAACCTAAAACTAAATTTATCTAGAATTACAGAATTAAAAATTAAATCAAAAACAATGATATCAGAATTAAAATATATTTACAAAGATATATTATACTGTATAAATTCAACCTTAATTTCAAATTACAGCATTCTATTATGGATTTGCTTCTATCAGAATATTAAATACTGTAAAATTACAGACAGAAATAACTCCAATAATAGAAATCCCAAGGTAATAGAATTTATATTATGATGAGACAAATATTAATCATTACGTTAAGTTTAAGCTAGAAAATATTTATTTAAATATGCTTACCATTTTAAAACATTTGAACATGATGTAGGAACGCCAGTAACTTCTTTGTTAAGAGATGAAATATATTTATTTTTTTCACATAAATTGTTTAATACAAATTTCAAAGTACTCTTGTTTATCTGTTTATTTATATAAGCCCTACAAAAAAAAAAAAATTATAGTAATAACACAAATTTGTATAATTTATTAATAAAAGTATATGAATTATAAAATTTGATATAAAAATTCAGCTCTTTTGGAATAGCCTCATTTTTTATGTTTATACCTTTCCATAGAAAATGTTTTTTAATTGTTATTTCAAATCATTTTATAACAATGTTATTAAACAGATAATT